TGGCATAGTGGAGACATGGCATAGTTGGGTTCAGTATAGATTTAATCTGACAGTGATTAAAATCACTATCATAAGAAACGCTTCGATGCAAATCTGTAGATAGTCTTTAATTCTTAAAAATTGGTGAGTAATTATTTTAATTTATTTAAAATATTTTATGTAAAGTACATAAAAATATATAAAATATTTACAGATACCTATATTTTATTATTATATAAAATAAAATTTATTTTTTCGTAAAATCATTGACATTATTTTAAACTTCCAAATCTTGAACACAAGAAGTTATTTTTGTTTCCTCATTATATGAAAAGCCAAGATTATCATACTCTCTTGTAGTTTTATACTTAATATGACTTCTGAAGTGAAATTCTACATATCCAAAGCAAATTAAATTTATTTTAAATCCATTTTTTTGGTAAACAAAATTGATTTTATTTTAAACTTCCAAATCGTGAACATAAGAAGTTATTTTTGTTTCTTGATCATATGATAAGCCAAGATTATTATACAGTCAATTAGTATAAGAGTCAATATAATTTCTTAAGTGATGTTTCATATCTTCAAAGTATGTGAACGTTTCAAATTTTGTATTTGTTTTTTTAAATATTTGTAATTTTGTATGATTGTGAAAAAGAACATTATATTCCTTAATATAATGATTTTTAAGGATTTTATACAAATTACTCTCTTTAGAAAGTTTTTTATTAAATACATTCCTAATATTTTCCAACTAATCAGTTTCATATTCTTCTGGATTTTTTAGTTTGCTTATAAATATAATAAAAACTTTTAATTCTTCTCAAATAAATGGGTTGGTTTTGATATCTAACAAATTCATTAGGAAATTTATTGCACTGATAAAACGCTATATAAGTTGTTTGGAAATGTCAATACTTGATTTTAATAACTGCCCCAATGAGATGAATATTTTTCATTCTACAATCACAACATATTTCTTTTAAGTGATGCACAATCCATGCAAAACTAATAGTATACTCATTATTAATAAACAAGATTGTTTTTTTTTAGTTTTTAATCTACATTCTTTTTGTTGACGATATTATCTTTAAACATTCATTTATATTAAATAATAGTGTATAAGTTTCAAAATGAATTTTGCATAGGTGGTCATATACAGTTAACTTTGAAAGATTCCATTTATTTTTTTGAATTACAAATAATTTATCGTTTTTTATAGCTGTCCACTAGTTGCATTAGATAATAAGAAAATTATGAATATACAAGTATATTTCATTTTTATTATGTGGTAGAAGATTTATTCCGTAATTATTAAAAACACTGTTATTATTTTAAAATACGTATGCCATACAATTAAATTTTAATAAAAATATAAATAGTTTATTAAGTGATAGCGTAATTATGTAATTTAACAGATAATTTTATCATAATATAATTTTATTAAAATTATACATAAAAAATTGAAAGATACCAATAACGTACTTTCATATTAAAGTATTAAATTAAATCAATAAATAAAATCATGTTACACCATAAAAATAAAAATTAATAGAAAGACTGAATTATTGAAATTTATCTAAAATACATAAAAACATAAAAAATATTCACAGATATCTATATTTTAAATTTATATAAAATAAAATTTATTTAAAATTCATTTTTTTTGATAAGCAACATTGAAATTGTTTTAAACTTTCAAATCATGAACATAAAAAGTTGTTTTTGTTTCTTTATCATATGAAAAGCCTAGATTAAAATACTCTTCAGTAGTTTTATTGTTAATATAATTTCTTAAGTAATGTTCTACATATTCAAAGTAAGTAAAGTTTTTAAATTCCTTTTTTTCTTCAATAAAATATTGGAATTTTCCTCTATTGAGAAAATCAAGATTAAATACACTAATCTTTTGACTTTGGAGTATTTCATATAAATTACTCTTGTTAGTGTATTTGTCCTTAAATACATTATTAATAGCCATCAAATATTTTTCGTCATCTGTTTCTTGATTTTCAATTTTGTTTACCAGTGGAATAAAATCATTTAATTCTTGTAAAATAAATGGGTTGGTATCAATATCTAATAAATTTATTAGGAACTTTATTGCACTGATAANATATAACATCAAACTTTAAATATCTTTACTAGCTAATTAAAATATCACAAATTCGAGAATTTTTATAATTTTATCTAAAAATATTTTTATTAACTAGCAATTTCCAATCATTGGTATTATTTACTCCTATAAAACTATGGATAAATATGATTATATAGTTATTTTGTTCATAAATGCATCATATAATTAAATGAAATTACTATAATATTTATATATATTTATTTACAGTTGATCTTGATATTATTTTTCTAATGTTTTCACCAAATTTGTTAAATCTTATAGAAATATAAAATATGATACTTTAAAAATATAATAAGATACTTTTTTTTAAATTAATTGTTTATTTTTATGAAATAAAAATATTAGTTTTATAATTATTTTGTTTTAAATATTTATAACGAGAAAATATATTGTATTAAAAAATTTAAGATAATATTATATCATTACTTTAATTCCTTCAAAATAAAACAATACAGTAAAAGAATATAAAGAAACAAGTAATAGTCGAGTTATTCATTGTGAAATCGCCTAATGTGGGGCTATAGTTTTTTTATATTTGTCATTAACAGCATTAATATTTTAGCTTCCATACGAAACTATGAAGGTATTAATTTTACAATGTATCTATGTGTTTTATTTTTGTGTCTGTTACTACTTTGTTTAAACTCTAATTGGACCAATTTCTTTCAACGATTCGCCAACATATCACAAATTGTTTTAAGTTGAAGATATTCACTTAAAACTTGAAAAAATTTCTCTCATTCCCCGTAAATGAGGGAAATCTCAAAAAAATTACAATTATAAAAAATAGTAATTTTTGAAATTTTTTAACTTACATTAAAAATAAATTCAAACTTATTTTGATTATTTTACCTCCTCAAAGTTAAGAAAAGCCACTTGGAATTTTTTAACTAGTATACGTGTAGTGCATTGCGACATAGTCATATGCTGTATAGACTTATACACCCGAAGTACGAAGTTCAACTTCCACCAGACGTAATAACTATTTTTTTCATTTTTTGTTCGATTCTTTTTTGAGATGGATTTTGNAAATTACAATTATAAAAAATAGTAATTTTTGAAATTTTTTAACTTACATTAAAAATAAATTCAAACTTATTTTGATTATTTTACCTCCTCAAAGTTAAGAAAAGCCACTTGGAATTTTTTAACTAGTATACGTGTAGTGCATTGCGACATAGTCATATGCTGTATAGACTTATACACCCGAGGTACGAAGTTCAACTTCCACCAGACGTAATAACTATTTTTTTCATTTTTTGTTCGATTCTTTTTTGAGATGGATATTTTGTTTATCATTCATTTATTTTTCAGCTTTTACTTGACCAATTTTAATTATCAGTACGTCAAAAGAACACGATATTAATCATGTTGAACTTATGATCACCAAATATTGAAAAAAATCCATTGATTCTAGCAATTTAGAAAAATATCTCAAAATAATGTTACCGTAATAAATGGGCACGTCAAAAGAACTTTTTGTAACTAAAAAGACGATAACAAATATTAAGTGTAACGCTACAACTATCACATTAATTAAATGTCGACGGACACATAAATATACTTTTTTAAGATCTCACTGGTCCGTTTTTTTTCAATTGATAATGAAATAAAGTAGTGGACAATGGTTTCGTTTATTAATAGTCAACAACAGGTAATTTAAAATCAAACGAACCGAAAAGACGAACATGGTTGGTAAAAATCTTAGCATAATATCGCGGCTCTTTCACTGGCGTCGGCAACGGTAAGCGGGCGCGGACAGGTTCGTCAAGTGCGGACAACTGGAAAAAGACTCGACGTATCATTCGAGGCGGATCTTCGTCGGCCGTGTGGCACTTGCTGGACTTAGCACCGTGGCGTATGGCACGCGGAGTTGGTCAGTCAAATACTCTCAATAGGACGACGGCTGATAAAAGTGGTACGATACGCGGGGCATTGTTTATCGCTAAGCGGCGCAGGTCGTGTCACTAGCTAAAGATTTCAAAACGATTTATTTTAATAATAAACACTGTGTATTTATATAATATATACACTTTTTGAAAAACTTATCATAAAATTTATGTTTATTTTTAGAAATTAATTAAAAAAGTTAATATCGTCCCTTTATTGTATTTTTTCTGTTTTAATTAAGTAATGGTAGATTTATTTTGTAATTAATTTCAAATACTTAAACAATGCAATTATTTTAATTTGGATTTATTATCAAATTGCTACTAGAAGTAGTTATGTCATATAATTATTTTATTAAATGTGTAATTGAGAAGGTGGAAGTGATAAACGCAATAATTTATAAAGTATTTTATGCTTAACTATTTCGAAGAAAATAAAACCATTTTTCACCGAAATTCATGTGAATGGGTTCATGTCACACTTATATTAAAATTTATTTTTCGTTATTTTTCAATTCTAACAAGTTTGACACACATATTCATACTTTAAGGTACTCGTGTGAGCAGTCTATGTTAATAAAATCGTCATATAATAAACGTAGTTATATGTTATAAAGTCATCAGTGCAGGACTGACATCTTTTTTGCATAAAACAAGTGTCTTTCGCTAATAGTACTAGTTGTCATCAGATCAGTTTTTATCACTTTATCAATCTATTTATGTTTACTGAAATGTTGTTTTGTTGAATCACGTTTTACAGAATTTTCAAACTATTTCAACATAATAGTATAAAAGTTGATAATATAGTTTTAAATAAATAACCACACTTCAGTGATCAGAGAAACTTGTGATTTGATTATGGACGAATCAACATTAAACACAAAAAAAAAAGAATGGTTTCAAACAAGACAACGCGGAAACGAAATAATAAATAGTAATAACACATTGTGTATCATTAAAAACATACTCTAAGCTCTTTTCTCTTTCAGATGCAAAAGTAGTGCTAACATTGTATACTTTTAGCTGAGACAGAGTTGATTTTCAATCAATGAACAACTATTGCTTATAGCCAAGTCTTCAAAGAACGGTCGTAGAACTCACATCAAATATATTATTCCACCCGAAACATTGCTATTAGTAAGGAAATATATCGAAGGTGTGCCTTATGAAAGTTATTGGTTCAGTTATAAAATATTTGGATGAAGGGTCAAATATTCAAAATGTTTAAAAATAAGCACCCTGGTTACAGAATCGGTAAAACAGCTTTTTAAATTATTATAAATACCAGTATGACTTAAAGTTTGGACCACCACAGGTTGATATATACAGTACATGCGTGGTATTGGATGTGAAGATAAAAAATTTTAAGCGTGTTGCTAAAAAAATAGTTCTTAAACGAACAATTAAGAAGTTTTATAATTAACTCAAAAATGACACTGAAGAGTAAAACCTTAAAATCCTATTGTTATCTTTCGACTTTATGCAAAACCTGACTGTTCCATTAATCCCAATGCAAGAAATCTACTATTTGTGTACTTAAGTTACAAAAATCGATCATTTTTCTTCTTGACATAGGAAAATTATTATTCGAAGTTCATAATTGGGATTTATTGAAATTTTAAGGATTGTCTTGTTAAATATCTATCGTATTAGTTTGATAAAAACAAGTCTTTATCCAGATGAAAATTAATTAAATTATTTTTATCTGAACCTAAACCTACTAAAATTAAAATCGTATTTATTTTAGCTAGTTTTGATTTTGTGTATCTATACTCAACTCTGGTAATAGACTAGAACTTAATAAGATTATAATAATTAAAATAAAAGTCCATTCTTAACTTCGTGGTATATAATATTTTGTATATAAGGCAAATTAGATGTGAATAATTCTTATAATATTTAAAACTGTCATTTTAATGTATTATTTATTATTTATATATATGTAATCTAAATGAAAAAATATTTTTATTTCATTAAGGTAAATTTATTATAAATGAATTGTTCACACTGTTAATAACAACTGAACATGCTACGACAATTTGTGACGTGTTTTATTTTACATTATATAGTACCCCATAAATTAATCAACCACTTAATTTTGCAATGAGAAAAAAATAACAAATTCTTAATTTAAACATTATTACTGACATAGGTATTTTAAAATAATAAGTGTATTTCTCATCCATTTCATATAAAATCAATTAACCAGAATGAATTATAACATCTTTATATTTATCTTGGCAGTGAACGTATCGAGTGAACACAAAAAGTATGATAAAGGGTATGCAATTAACTTTTTAAATTCATTTTTACAAAAAATCAAGTGGCAAATTTTATCAAAGACAAGTGTGTATGACCACTTAAGCAAGTCTTGGATTCACACGCATAAACTACTAATAAATAAACATAATTGTTGTAAAGGTTTGATCGTCGATAAAAATAATGTTAATCAAAAGTTAAGAGAAACAATGGTACTTATTAATCATGAGTACATAAGAAGTTTAGATTGGATCATTTATCACGTACAATTAATTGTTAGTGATTGTTTTCTGAAAAATTATCGTAAGACTTCAGAAGATTACCCGCATTGTATGAGTTTATTATTACCAAATATTGAGAATTCCATAAAACTCATATCACGTTTTATTAGTGCAATACATTTTCTAATGAATTTGTTAAATATTAAAACCAAACCATTTGCTTTAGATGAATTAATAAAATTTGTTGGATTGATAAGCAGAAAAATAAATGAAAATGACAATGCATATGTGAACCGAATTCATTATAAATTCTATGATGAGTACAAAGTGAGAAATTGTAATTTGATCAATATACTTCAAAATTATTGCATTGATCAAAGTTATAAAATTAGAAATTATGATGAGTATGATCTTAATAGGTATATAAAGGATAATCATTTATCTAAAACGTTTAAAATGTATGAATTTATAGAAGTTACCTTAAGAAATGGTATAGAAGATAAGGAAAAAAAATTTTATTTTAATCTGGGCTTTTTTTATGATGAAGTAAAACATGAAACTTCTTATGTTTATGAAAATAGAAAAAAAAAGTTTTTTATATTTAGCTGATAAATTGTTAAAGACACTTTTTTTCTAACAAACGATATGTGTGAATATTAAACAAAGTAATTCCATANTTTAACAAACGATATGTGTGAATGTTTTTGTTACATGTGATTAACATAATGTAAATAATATAAAATATTTCATTCTTCTTTTATAGTGTTGGGACAAAAAAAACCCTCGTCAAAAATAAAAAAAATTCAATGAAAATTTCAGGATTTTTTTGTATTATCTCTAGACAGGTCTGGTAAAAATTTCAGGTTTTACATCGAAAAACTTTATGGTGTTTGAGCGTTTCCAATAAATATTATAAATACTTATGATGTAAAAAAAAAATATTCTCATCTTCGCAAATAATTCTTCTAGAATAAAATTGCCGAACTCAATCGTTTAAAAAAAAACATAATTAAAAATTAGAAATTTTTAACTATATTTTGTTATATAATACTATTTAAGTAAAATTTTATAACCAGACCAAACAGATTTTGAAATTTTATAATCGTGTACAAACAACACTTGTCATACTAATACAATTCTTACGTGCCATTACTTCACGGTTTTATTTCTACTATAAAACTATTAAGGTTGAAACCTAACAGATGACGCCATCTAGGTAGTTGGTTTGATTTTGTAGCCAGAGGAGGGCTTTGGGGCCATGCCTTCCCATTGGCTATAATTTGTGTAGAANGTTACCCAGGCCCGTCGCAAGATATTTTCCGCCTTAAAGCGAAAATATCTAATGCCGCCCTTAAAGGGGGTGGTTGGGTAATACAATTGGGTAACAAGTGTTGGGAGGGTAATAC